AAATAGCCAAATTTTTTTAGAGAAAATTGGTCTGTTGGCTCCAAAATTCGGGTTTTATTTCCAGAAATATTGAAGAATATAAGAAGAAAGTGCAGACAAGTTTTGGTGAGAAAGTCTGGTGTTGAAAGAGTTCAACAGACAGAATTGCTCATGCATTTCCAATAAAGTAAATACTGATTTATGAAATGCTAAACTGAAAGTTGTTTATAAGTGTTCACACACCAAATACAATACATACTAATGCTTCATGCAATTGGTTTTTGTTTTCAGGATTTTATTGTTCATTTGTATTTCTGTTTTCAGATCCTACAGTTGAAAAAGGGAGGAGACGTGTTTCCATTGGTTGGTGAATCGGGACGTGTATATGGCATGGTATGTATAGAAACATTGAAAATTCATTTTACATTCATTTGTATCATTACCAAATTTTAATATTTTAAAGTTGTAATATTAGAACAATATAATATAATTCCTTGATTTTTGAGTGAGTTAATTATTTAGGGAAAAATCTTTTAATATAATTTGATTAGGTACAACTTTTTCGTTAATTTCACATTTCATTAGAATTCTTAAGACACAGTGGCTTCTGGGAATTTTTGTCCTTTATGAAAAAACTCATCATAAAAATTTCTATTGGTGAATATTAAACATTTACAGTACAGACTTGATTGTGTCAATTTTCAGTCAACGGTACAAGAGTGGTGATATTAATGTCAAGTTTTTCCATTTTTTACAATAAATCAGGAGCTGGTAAATATCCCAAACCTTTCGGTTCTTTCCTCTATGACTGACGTACATTAGAAACAAATAGCCATCAGGATTTTGTTAGATAACTAGATATTTGCTGGCAGGCATTGTCATGATAGTTTGAGTGTACATATGTATTTGCTGAGATTGCATTTTACCGCTCAAAATGGGGGTAAATTTGTTGACATTTCCTGTAATTTTCACTGAATTTAATCTTAATTTTGGACCAAACAGACAAAATGTGACATTGCTTATAGTTTTTGATTCAAAAAATTTAAACTTTGCCAAATTTTCTGCGGGAAAAAAGCTGACAACAAGTGGAACTATTTTGTGGATGGTGCCTGAAGTTGACTTTGCAGCTGCTACAAAATTGTTCCAACTTTTTGGGACTTCTAAATAAAGTAATTTGGAAAGTTTTAGGATTTTTTTTTCAGAAAAATATTTTTTTTTCCTTTGCAAATTCTCTGACCCCCCCTCTCATTTCCAATGGTCCAATCATTGAGACACAGACCTGGGATGAATTTCTTAATATGGCACATCTAGATTTGTGAAATGAAACTTACATACATGTAATGATAACATGGCAGTTATTGGCAGACAATATGGATAACGGAACTTAGATATGTGAAATTATAACAAGACAGATTGGAAAAGCAGACAGTCAAAACTCAGATGCATGAATTGATAAAAAGACTGATTCATCATTCATTTGAGAAACAGAAAGATGTGGCAATGTGGACAACCAAATTCAAACTTGGGAAACAATAACAAGACTGATGCCACTCTTATGATAATTTTTGTGAGACAACATTCATCTAGAAACGAGATCCATTATTTGACTATAAGTCTCACATGACATGGTGGTGTTGACCCCTAATTTGTTTGTTCGGTAACACTTTCCAATTGTTTATTGTATCATACTTTAGAGCACAGTCTGAGTGCTGGAGGACTGTGTTTAAAAACTTAGGTGTAATGGATATTGAACTGCTAGGAAAATCAATGTGAAGACCAAAATGAATGTCATGCAATTATTACAGTTTTGAGACTGAAATTTACTATTGTTTGCACCTCCCCCCCCAAAAAAACCCCAAAACAACCAACTATATTGCAAAGTGTCATTCTTCTATTGTTTTTTTTACTTACTAATGTAAGCACAATATTGATCTGATATGTCTCTAGCTCCAAACTGGTTTGGGATTGATTATTATTACAGTTATTACTGTAAAACATGTCTTTTTCGCGAGCATCTCGTTTTAGCGAAAGAACTGATTCGCTAATTCAAGATGTTGTTAATGACCCATATTATAAATTCAAAAGGCTTGAGGATTTGTATTCAGTAATCCGGAACATAAAAATCTGAAGCGCTTCCTTATTACACTTGACAGTTTTTCTTTGTTTTTATGGAGGTGATAACGGCGCATTTGTTTTGGCACGTGACAGACAAGTATTGTGAAAACATGAAATCAACAATGACAAGAGAGATTTGCTATTAAAATCAATATTTCGCTATTACTTTATTTTACCATAATTTGCTAAAATTGCATGTCGCTTTTTCAACATGTTTTACAGTATAATCTAGATTATCTACACACTTTCTAGAACGATACAACTCATAGTAGTCGATATTATACTTCAAATACCACAAATAGGCATTGCTTATACTTTTAATCACTTAATTTTCACTGCTTGCTTTATCTGATGATTCAACAGCATTCATGAGCGCACAATTCTGTGAAAGTCACTGCAACATTTTCACTGAATTTCCGAAAATAAAATGTTTTTGAATTTTCACCGACTAATCTACGACTAACATTACTGCCACTTAACATCCATCAGGGCGATAAGTGGGTAAATTGACACAACATCCATCATCGTTAGATAAACAGCTGTCATCACATAGCGCATCTTTTATTTATAACATTTTATTCCTATACTAATATTGTCAGAGACTGCATGGGGATAAAACTGCAACAGGCATTCCTTAGAGTGGTTACATTTAATGCATACAATTGTTATGCTCGATTTGTTGATGCAAATTTGGAGTAGATATCTTCTTATCTTACTCTTCAGGGAGTTTAATGTTTATTTAAACTATTTTAATCAAGCAGACTGATCAATGTTGTTTACTGCGCATACCTAATTAGGCCACAGAAAATAAAGTTTATGTGTTATGTTTACAGAGTGTTGAGAAATGAAAATGTCTGATAATATCTGATTTTGGGCAATCTCATATTAGATGTTTGAGTATGAGGTGTCGTCATTAGAGCCATTAAAATATGATGATTTGAACTAAAAATATGAGTAGTTAAATTTAAAATATGAAAAACGAATGTTAAAATATAAGAAATTAAGTTTAAAATATTATTATTATAATTTTTGTGGACAGCTGACATATACAAAGCGGCATGTAACATTGCTAGCACCTACTTTAAATTTAAAAGTATTAGCCATTTGCATTGTAGTGAGTGAAAGCATATCGTAGCCAGAGTTGAATGTTTCACACTCAGTCAGGTTTTACATCTGTGTTGGAGTGTATATGTATCCATGTTATATGTAAATAAACCCAAAACAATGTTTCCCAAAACCTGGTTGGTGAGTTCTGAGTGGGTGAGCTGAATTTGCAAGCAAAATCCAGGAAACTGCATGTGAAACTTGCCCAATGGACTTTTGTATAGATCCTATCCGTTCAATGATATATCCCTCATATTTGTTGATACATTGGGCAAACTCAACTTTATAGCGATGAGGGGATAAACATGGGCAAACATTGAATAAGAAAGATAAAGAATTTGGATAATAAAACATTACATTGTATTACACCCAAATTACATCATGCTGTTGAAAACCTAGTTTGTCATCTTTAAGCTCAATGCAGCTAAGGTGTGCATGTATATCAAAGGGTATAGCTACGGTTCTGTTCTGCAGAATTGGGAATTGCATGGGAAAAAAAATGATGGATCATCACAGATATTTCACATAGTGATCACCTGGATTTTAGGTCTGAGTGCTTGCAGCCTGTTGAAAACTGGACCTAAAAAGGTCAGTTCTTAGGCCGAGTTTTGCTAAAATGGCTGAAAATTTATTTTTGATTTTTGAAAATGGATTTAAATTTGAAAATTAACTTTTGATTTTTGAAAACGGATTTATATTTGAAAACTTACTTTTATTTTTGAAAATGATTTATATTTGTATCTCACTTTGCTTCAAAAAATGAATTTAAAATTGCATTTTCACTGTGACTTTGGTTTTACATTTTGATTTCATAAATGGTTTTAATTTTACCTGCTCTTTGATTTGCAATTTTCATTTTTACTTATGTTTTTAAGTTTGATATTGAATCTAATTTTGAAATAGACAAAACAATTAAAAAAAAATGTTTAAAAATGTTAATGCATAAAACATTAAACCCTCCTTGGTTATCCTAATCACTCAATTTAAAAGAAGGAGATAACTACAAAGTTCTGAAAAATGTCTGATGAAAAACTGATTTGGTCATCAATTTCATCTACATCTGAAAATTGAATCTAAAACATCAGCAGTTATGTTAACTGAATCATACCATGAACAAAATGTTACCAGACCACCGGCATGTACGTTTTTATTTTTACCAGCCAGACTGAAAAATTATCCATGTCAAGCATACAAAGGTAGTTAATTTCAGTCTAGTACTATAGTTTTATTACTTGTTCCTAAAAATAAGATTATCAGGTTATTAATATTATTATTTTGTCAGATATTTGAATTGCCGTAGAAAAATATTGAAAAAAAATAATGTTGTCATAACAAAAATTAGACTATGCAATCAATAGAGGCTGCCAGTTTTCAAAGACCACAATGAAAACACATTTCATCATTCAAAAAGTTCTTAAAAAAATAACGTAAATTTGAATACGGCTATACACCACATAATTTCTTCACCATATGTCACACAGTAGAATTTTGAGGCTATTGCTTTATACTATTCACTTTATTTTGTACATCAATTTTCTCTGTATCATTATTTCATATTTTCATTTCATTTCCTTCATCCTTGTGAAAAATAAAAAGCCTTATTTTTTTTACTTTTGTGTAGCGTTTTACCACATAATTTATAGAATGTAAATTCTTTAGTTTTTGTAATGTGTATTGCCATGGAAAATTTATTGCCCGTTATAATATTTGAGAGTTTTGGCTATATGCTGTAATATGAGTCATCAACCGTTTTGTCTCCCCTGGCCGATTCACATCAATGAAAATACTCAGATGTCTTGTGAATCCCGTATTGCAACTTTATATGTCAAACATCTGCAAACAATTCTGATAATATAACTTTTGGGGTAGACTTATATTATTATTTCTACCTCCACAGCCACTCGTCAGTATATGATGGACTTTGCATCAGAGTAACATCTAAATATTGAACTGAAGCAAATTATCTCCTAACGTGTTGATTTTATTTGGCTTTCTCTGCAGGCTTTACGCAGCTGTGACAAGAGTACCAATCCTGTATATATTTCCATTGGACACCGAATTAATTTACCAACAGCGCTGAAATTAACGCAAAGCTGTTGTAAACACAGAGTGCCTGAACCAGTCAGACAGGTAGAACATTTTTTTTTAACTGTGTGGATGAACTGTATGCAAAGGAAAAATCTGCGATATAAATTAATGCATAGAGCATGCCTTTGAATTTCGTGTATGCAGACAATGTACTGTAAAATAATTTATTTTAGCTGGAATTAATTCTCGATGAAAAGACTTTTTGGGTGTTTTGTGTGGAATTTATTTTCACTGATTTTTGATGAGTTAAATGTAAAATATAGGAAAAAATGTATATTCGCTGGATTTTATTTTCACTGAATAATTCCTTCAGCGAAAATAGTGATAATTAATTCTAAGCGGAAATAAAGTATTCTACAGTATTTTATATGCCTTTAGATGAGTAAAAAGGTATTTCAGAAACAGTGCCCTCTACAGATGTTTAAAAACTTGGTGTATCTAAGAAATTGCACCCTCCATAGATATTGCATCTTGGAAATGCTTTCCTATATACATGTAGATTAATAAAAAATTTAGCACGTCTATATACGAGTAAAAACAGTATATTGTAAAATACTTTCATTTAGCTGGAAGTAATTTTCATTGAAAAGACATTTTGGAAGTTTTGAAATTTTTTTTCGCTGATTGTTTGATGAGTTGATGTAATATTTAGGAGAAAAGTTATTTTCGCTGGATTTTATTTTCACTGATTCATGCCTTCATCGAAAATAGCAAAAAACAAATTCCAAGTGAAAATGAAGTACTGTACAGTATAAGGAGCAGCGCCCTCTATAGATTAATAATTAAATACTGTAAAACCAATTAGTTTCGATGGCATTTGATTTCGCTATTTAATTGTTTTTAAGCAATTTCACTGGGTTTTAAGTTTACAAATTTGGCGGGGGAAAAAAGAATGGCTCTCATGTTCACATGCATTTAATTCGGCGGATTTGACTTATTGGCGAAAATAGCGAAACTAAAACACCAGCAAATAATTAATGCATTTACAGTATGTATTTCTGATTGACGAGGGAAGATCACTGAACATCAAAATGAAAGGAACATTTTTTTCCAAATAAAATGACACATCACATGATATTTTCTATGGGTCCCACATGTCAGGTAGATGCGTGTGAAGCGAAATACATTATTTACATAAAATTTAAGTGTGGTCTTCTCATTCACTGTGACGCTTAAAGATGGACGAAAACTTTTAACTCAGAGAGTGAATACGATTCATTAATTATTAAAATGAAACTAAAAGTATTGATCAAAAGTAAAAAAAGACTTTTTAGGTTTAAATTGTAAAGAGTGACACGAAATGGACTTTGGCTCTGCTTGTGGAGAAAACTGTAATTGATAATTCACCTACAATTGTTTTTAATGAGTGATACACATACAAATCATTATTATTAGGTGATGTAGAATGTAAGCTGTCTTGTGTTGAAGCATTTGCCGCCATATTCTATATTGTTGGTATGTACCGCTAATAATATGAGGTTATTTACGAAGATACCTCAAAGTATGCACGAAGACAGTACAGCGGGAGTATCAACTGACGCGCAACTGAGGTCGATGAGGCGGTGTACTGTCTGAGTGCATACTTTGAGGTATTCTCGTAATAATCTTATTATTATACATCTTTTCCTTCCAAGATTACATCATGGGAATGCTGTAATCCAAAATGTTTAGAACAGATTCAGCGAACCCCGGTTTGTTTTTATTATCACGCGTAATCATTCCATATTTGGAATTTGCATTTCCTTATATGGTAAAATGAAAATACCCTGTAAAATACCGCAAAATTACGACACGCTGTAACTTATGGCGTTACGCTGACAGATGTATGATAATGGATTTTAATTTGTCTTGACAATTGAAAAGTTACAGAAATGCAAGTGCAAAACATTATTTGACTGTCATGCGTTTTTTTTTCTTGTTATTTTTTTCTGAAGAACCCATAACAGTTGGATGAATTGCTTTCTTTCAGTTGTGTGTTTAACTCTAACTGATGGTTTTGTCCTTTTTCTGAGTCTGTACATGGCAGTTACTGTTATGGGACACTCAGTATAGAAAGTAAAAAATAAGGCTAATAAAAACTCAGTTTCACTTCACATGTGTCAGTGTTAAATCCCTGCTTACAACTTTTTACATGCTATTTTTGTGTACAAGTGAAGTGCGCCACATTTGGTAGAATGAGGAAATGTTTACTGAGCATGTGTACGAAAATAACTTGCAGGTTCCTATCGATTGCCTTTACATATATGTTTCTATAGGTCAATATGTACCTAGGGGCTTTATTTCTATAAAAACTTATACTTTTATATAGACCTACATATTTACCCTTAATAGGTTTATAATCCATTATAAACTTATTGATTTTTATAGCCCATATAACCTATAGATTTGTACACCTGTATATAACCCCATGATCCATTCATCTTTGTACTTGTACATATAGCTTACATTACAGTTCCCAGGATTTAAACAAACACCCAAGACAGATATGTTTGTATTTTAAACTTTTCATCACAAGTTCCCTCTTTTCATCACAAATTCACAAAATAGTCCCGTTTATAGTCTGCACCTTCCTTCAGAAGAATGGAACAAAAATAGCCAATTTTCTAAGTAAAAACTGAAAATTGACACAAATTATATCTGTTGCTTCAAAATTTAGGTTCATTTCCATAAATATTGTAGAATATAAAAAAAAAGTGCAGAATAATTTGGGCGAGGAAGCCGAGTGGTGAATAAGTAAATACATGTATTGTGTTGATTAATTTTCTCTGAACTGAGTTTGGTGGTCTCATATTTTTCTTTTCTTTGCTTCATCCTTGTGACATGTTATATCAGATGCGTAATAATAAAGAAAATGACAATGTTTATAATAAAATTTATATTAAAAAGGATGCATCTCATGAGATGCTATTGTTAATTCCTCTGGGCATGTTATGGTTGTGCATGCAAATGTGAAATTAATAATATTATTTTTTTCATCAGTGGAACGTTTAATTAATTATCCCAAAAATATGACTACCATTTAATACTACATTTCAGTACGTGTTGCATCATGTGAAACTGTTTATTTACAAAAAATGTCAACATGAAATGAATTTAAAAATAATGATAATCCGAGAACTGCATTTACATATAATGTACACAGGCTCATTACAATAAGACTTACTTTAATCATTGACAGGCACTTATCATTTAAGTAAGCACATAATTAAAAAACTTAATTCCTTTAGTTTTTGTCCAAACCCCCCTACCCCCCACTGAAACTTAATTGATAAATATTGGTCATGGCATCAGACTACATTCACCATTAAATACAAATTGATAATCGGACAGTAGTATTGCGTAGCAGTTGGTTGTCGGGTGGGTGTAAAAAGATTTTACAAATGCACCTCATTTGACGCACTCATTTACACTCGAACCAAACCATTTTTCTGTTTTTTTCCCCTTTCTGTTATTTCTGGCCATGATTGGATAGAAAAAAACGAACTACAAATACTCCAAGATTTTTTTGACTTCATTAAAAAATAAAATCGTTTTTGTAGGATGGAAACTTTTTGAGGTCAAAACCCCCCACCCCCAAACTAAAGGAAATAAGTTTTTTATCCGACATCGATCTTTTGACGTCGTCCCTAATACAGTGAATATGGTACATGAAGGTCTTTAATAGGATGTTAAATTTGGAATATTCTTATTCTAAATAATTATGTAAAACTATTGTTTAGTGAATTGATCATTTAGCATACATTTATTTGATAATGTAGCATTTAATTAGTTCCATTAAAAAAAAGAATGACAAATCTTTCCATTTTTCTCTGTCAAATCTTTTGGATGAAATTTTATTTGGGCCAATTTTTTTTTACAAAATTTTATCTTTTGAACAAAAGTTTTGAAAAATTATATTTTTAATGAAACTTTGACAAATAGAAAATAGAAATTGTTGAGCAGAGAGTTATAGAATTTTTTTTTACCTCCAAATTAATATGCATACTACCGGTACCTCATAGTTAATTGACGTCATATCAATGACATACCATACTCGATGACTTTTTTCCCAAATAACAACAGAATTATGAAGAATGCTACTACTATCTGCATTTCTGGTTGATAAATTCAGTTTCATCATAGTTTTAGATATTTGCTGATACATGGAGAAAAAAGGCATAACCAACAAGGTTTTTGAGAAAAACATGTTTTATTACACCCTAATTATGGAATGACAACACAGGACTCTATGGAGGGGGGGGGGGAGTAAATTTGATACTTAAAAATAATGAAACAATGTATTGAGAACTATACAATTTAAAACTAATTGGAGTCATGGATCTGTTTGTGAATATTGCAGTTTCAATAATTCTCTCATTTTTAGACATTAGAAACATTTTCGCAAGGGAACAAGCATATGTCGATACACTGCAACTTTAAAGTCATCCTCCGGCATCACTCAAAATATTGAAAAAACTATATACCGTTATTATCTCTTTTCATTCCTTTCCCTAAGCAGTTTTTGACACATGCATGGATTACAGATGATGTGGATATTACATTACGGTATTTACATTGCAGATTTATTTTTAATCTAACATTAAATCCATAATCTGAGGCTATAAATAGAAATGGAATATGAAACTACGTAGTATAATGATCAACTTTAAGATATTTCGCAAGACAAGCTATTGTGATCTGGTTGTTATGGTTTTTTCTGAATTATGAGATTTCAAGCAAACAAAATATTTCTGTATGTCCAATGAAGTGTATATGAAAGTGAATAAAAACATGTTGCTGAGTTACGAGTCTATCCTACATGGGGAAGAAACTTGTTAAAAACAATTATTTAATGACATGAAGCTGTGAAACAAATTATTAATATTATTTGCCAAGTGTTTATCGTAAATAATATTGTCATTGATAGCAGTGATGTATCATAAAGCAATCTGTAATTAAAGTCATTGCAAAATACACTTGTTAAATGACCCATGCAAGAGTGATAAAATCGTAGCCTCAGAAATTAATTACGAGTTTATTATTCACAAGTGCAAGACACTGTA